GTGCAAAAGTCAAACGGAGGAAAAGGCAACCAGTTTCAGGTTTCATTGCTGCCTGGAGGAGTCGGGAGGTTCTGCTAAGGTTCAGGAACACCTCTAGCAACCCCGGACCCAGTAGGATTACGTCCGTGATGATTTATGGTGTGGCATTAGCATAATCCAGGGTGTGGACAGACTAACGCATACCCTGACATAATTTATATCTGCTTTGTATGCCCCTGTGAGTTACCCTGGGATTGGGAACAGACTTCAGCATCTCACCACGGGGTGGCCGGAGAGCAGGGACTATCTGCCTACAGGAAAGGGCTATGACTTAAACTGGTGCAACTTTCAGCGATCGCTGTCCACGGATTGAAGCAAAGATCCCCAAGTCCAGGGGTTAGCCTCATCCGTTTGCTAGGCACCGATGGGGATGTATCATCTGTCCAGCACCTTGCTTTGCATTTCCTGAATAGCAAACTATAGGTTCTCCTGAATGCCAAACTCCAGGCCAAGCTACAGCAGTGCAGGATCTCAGATGCACAATGCAATGGGAATCCCAGCTGCCTCACTTCCCTCTGCTTGCTAAATACTACGCCTAGATCAGCACAGAAACAGCTGCCTCTACAGCAGAGCAGCTACCGTGTACGACCCCCACAACACACACAGACACACCCCGATACAGCAATGGGGAGAAGGGGGGGATAGTCTGACCACGCCACCAGGACACACAGCTGCTGTGAATTTTAATGCCCACCCAGAGAGCACCTCAGGGGTCCCAGAGCTCATTCGAGAGGAGAGTTTTCAAGGCAGGAACTGGGGGAGCTGGTCGTGTATCCCTCAGTCTTCCCTGTGCTTCCAAAAAGCACCCCCCGTGCCCCATCCTGCAGCCTGCAAGGACCAGCGACCTCCCGAACGGCAGGTGCCGGCTGGCTGCGGTTCCTGGTACATCTCAGCCCCCGTGCAAGAAGCACGCTGCCCGAACAGGGTTGCCTGGACATCGTGGAGGGCAGAACTGAAAGGTGAGACATAAAGGAGGGTGATGCACCTTCCCCACCACGCCGCACAGGCACCTGGGACCCACGCACGCGCTTTTATCCGCGTGCCGTGCCGCCGACGGCTGGATACCGTTCCCCATCTGGCATCAGCCTCTTCCATCTGAATTAAACAGGGGACGCAGAGGGGAGGAGGAAAACCCGGCTCTAGGCAGTTTAATAAGTTCAGCCTTACGAGCTGGGGAAAGACTGGAACACACACATGGTAACACAGGATTAATCGTTGCTTTAGTCTCGGGAATTATGTTTTCATTAATCCTAATTTTTCCAGATGTTTTGCTCCCGACACCATCGGCTTCAAAAGCCTCCGTGGCTGCAAAGGCTGACAAAGCCATGAGAACCGGGTTGTTTTTTCTTCGGGGAAAGATTCAAAGCATAAATTGCTCCCATTTTCTTGGGCCGTTTGCGACTGCGTGTGTGTGCCGCCCTGGTGCCGCGTGGTGTCTTACACAATGTGCTAACAAGATGGCAAGGCTTGCTTGGGCCGTGCCATGCAAGTGTGACGTCTTTGCCTTCTTCCTGGTTCGGGCCGGGCATGGAGGGTTTTGTTAGCAGATTGGCCACCTGCCCGTCGTTTGTGACTGTTATAACCAGGCGATCTGGGCCAGAAACAGCCAGTTGCTTTGAAACGTATTCATTCACCCTGCAGCCATCAATCACTCTGCCAATGAGGCATTAAGAAACAGATATTTTTTATGTAGGGCCTATGGTGCTAGAGGAGTTCAGTGTTTAGCTTCACGCTAATAAGGATAAGAACAAATTGGAAGGGATGTAGGCAAGGGCTATAAGGATGATTTGAGGTCTGGAAAACTTTCCTTACGGTGACAGACTAAAGGGGCTGAATCCATCTCGCTTCTCCATACATCCAGAGAGACGCACAGCCGTCCGGAGGCACAGCTACGGCTTGCATAGACATTGTGACCGTCCCAGTTGCACCCTTTGCTGCTGGCAACGTTCAATACAGGCTGGAAAACTTGCCGTAAATCCGCCGTCCCGCTAGATGAGTCGTGCGTGCAAATACATGCTGACGTCTTTTTATCGTGGTAGATTTTGCTATATCGTGGTAAATTAGACCACCTCAGAGCACCTGCAGAGCTCCCGCCAGCAAAACAGGTGCGCCTGCGGGAGAGCAGGGCCATGTCCATGCTGCGGGTTTGAGGCAGAGCCACGGACCATCGATCAGACCTCGAGGACTGAGTTAGGCAGGGGCTTAGTCAGCCTCAAAAGCAACACAAGGTCAGGAAGGTGCAACGGGAAAGCAACCACAGCCTCAGCACCTCCCTGCACCCCCTACGCTCTCGTGCTGGCACCGGTGGCTCACAGCCTCTCCTGCTCTCTCCCGGCAGCACTGGTCGCCTTTGGAGGTTTGCACTAAGGATTCGACACTGCCTGCTCAAACTCAGCACGGCAGAGAAAGCAAGAGACTCCACGTAGATCTCCGAACAACGAAAAAGCCCGAGGAGGATGAAGTTGCATCTCGCGGGCAGTGCAAGGACCAGGACCGGAGGATGCATGCCAAAGCCTTTGCTCCTCTTCTTCTGATGAATCACAGCAGGTGCTAGAGGCAGCTTGTCAACCAGAACCTGTTTCCCCTGAGCGGGAGGAGGATGGTTTGGGAGAGGAGTGAGCTGAGTGCTGTGTGTCCTCTCATCACTCCTTGCAAGGGCCAAGCCTTTGCCAGGGCGCAGCGGGGGCATCTCTAGGTAGGCACTTATTTGCCTTCTGTGTTTCAAGCACCTGCACAATTAGCAGCACCTCCCCTAATGATCCTGCAGAAGGGTCCTGCATGCTGGCCTCTTGCGTGTGCGCAAAGCTGAGCCTCTGGCCGGAGCTGAAGTAGGACAGCACATCTCTTAGGTGTTTGGTTCATACAGGTTTTCAGAGCATCAGCTTTTCTATCCTTGGCTCACACCTTCCCCTAGACAAGCCCACAGGCCATCTCTGCACACCCTCATGCAGCTGGCCGTGCCCCAGGGCTTGAGCATCTGGTTGAAAGCGCAGCTCCTCACCTTTCCCCGGGAGCGACTGGAAGGGATGAGACTGCAGCCCCCGTCTCTTCCTTCACCACATCTCCTCTTCTCTCCATACAACTGGCATTTTGCTCCAGGCTTCTGGCATGAGCCGGTCCCGGGATGCACAGAGAAGCCTCCTGGCCACACAGAGAGGAGGGAAGCACTCTAAAATGATAGTGGAAAACGGGCAATTGAAAACGATGTGCATGTGAAAAGGAAGAAGGGAGCTCCTTCCCCCCCGAGCAGCTCCATTCTGGTCCCCCTTGCACCAGAAATGACACCCTGAAACCTTCCCCTTGAAACTGGGCTTTGGTTTCAATGCAAAGCAGACTCCCAACCACCTGAGGAAGAAGGCCCTTGCTGATGGGAATTAACCTGCTCACCAGGCCCCTCTTTGCATCGCTGCCAGCGGCCCCGATCCGGCTGGGAGCATTTCAGGGGACACTTGTACACGTTATGTGTCCAACCAAAGCCTGTGTCCGTGCGGTGCCAGCTCCCCTACCGCTGTGAGCTGCTGGGCACAGGCTGGGCAGCAGTTATAAGCCCTGGGTGCAGAGTAGGGGGGCCATCAGGGACTAAATGCCCCAAGTATGGGGGTGAGGGAAAGGGAGGACTAAACTGGTGCTCCATGCAGCTGCCAGCACTGGTGGGGATAGGCTTGCTATAGCATTGCCAGCACCCTGCTTAGCTATAACATCCCATCCTCACCAGCGCTCATGGAGACAGCTCTGCCCTGGACAATGCCAGGCTGCTGCGCCAAAGCACCTAGGTGTGCCCCGATGCCCAGCCTGCTCCAAGAATAGCAAGGGAGGGGATGGCCATTAAACACTTTCGGATCCACCGCGTGTTCCCCGTCTCTTGTACTGCATCGTCCAGCGGTAACAGCGGTAACCGCAGCCGCGGGGTTCGGATCAGGAACAGCAGAAAAATATCTTCTCTCTGGAACAAATCTTTCCCATTGATTGTGCCTTTTGTTCTTGTGGTTCACGGGGTTTTGTATTCCCCCCCCCAGACATTTACTGGCAAAATGTCACTTTGAAAAAACAGCAACCCAGAAACTTCAGGGTTGTTGCTTTGGCTGCTTTCGGCTTTGTTTTTCCTCGGTCATTAATCGTTCCTCTGCTTCCAGCCCTTCCAGCCAACACAAACCTATGGGGGCAATTCTTTGCAGGCTCATTTCAGGGTTTATGGGGTTTCACGAAGTCCATGGAGATGCAGCAGAGTGGACGTGGCGCCGAGAACGGCTCCTACGTATCTGCCCCCGAGGGCAACCGGCATGCCCAGCTGAAGCTGAATCTCTGCTGGAGGGATGGGCTGGAAACCCAGCAAAGCCTTGGGGCATTGGGGTTGGGATTAGGGTTCACTCGGGGCCGTCCCCAGCCAAGCAGAGACCTTTGCCTCTGCACAAAGGAGAGCTCCATTTAGCTGCAGCACTGGGCACCCGCTATCCTCTTTATGGAGGGAGACGGGACCTACTCTGCGCACACGTAATAAATCTCTCCTAGCTCGCTGTCCAGACGTGCCTTTAAATGTCCCCAGCGAGCTGCCCCGGGGCAAGTCTCTCCCTCCATGAGCTCTCATAGTCATCATGAGCCTTTGCTGTGCTGAGAGAAGCCTTTTGTTTTCAGTGGCTCCATTCATTCAGGTGCCCAAACTCCTGGGCTTTCTGCTGGGGCATTGCTGGAGCCCGAGGGGCTGGAGAGCGAGCTCCCCGCATGCAGGGCCACAGCCAGTCGTGCTAGAGATATTTATGAGATGTTCCCCCAAATTCTCAACATCTCTCTGGCAAGACCCTGCCCCGTGATGCACACTCCCCTGCATCCCTGCAATAACAGGGGTCTCCATCCTTGCACGACCTGGGGAAAGGTAGAGGAGTGACGGTGAAGAGGATGCAATAAGGATTAGGCATAAGGAAAGCTTTTGGCTCGAGGGAGAGAGCTGGAAACAGGCCAGGAAGATGTCACCCTCCCTAGGGTGCCCCACACCTCTTCCCCCTCCCGGGACTGAGAATTGCTACTGGGAGGAGATGCACGGGAGGAAACGGCCCCGCAGCAGAGCACGGGGTAAAATACAGCTCCGTCCTCACCGTGGGAGGGTGGGAAAAGCTCCTCCACGTGGCTGTTCCCGACTGGGGGCCAGGTTTGTCTCCCACAGAAGAGGCTCCCCGCAGACACGAGGCCATGTGTGTGGCAAAGGATGGGGCTGGGCAGCTTTGGAGAGGTCAGCCAGGCTGCCACCCTTTGCTCAGGGCATGACGTGGTCCTCAGCGCTGAGGTTGGCAGGCACCCACCATCCCAAAGGCGCCTGCAACCCATCTGGTTTCTGCAGAGACAATGCCACCAGCGCTCGCCTGGGCACCCAACACCAAACCTTGCCGGTGACAACCCGCTGGGGAGGTCCGGGAGCCAGCGGGAGCCAGCGCGGCCACCATACCCCCTCCGCCTGGCGCCAAACCACCCCCAGCAACCCCCCAGGGGGGGGCAGGGAAGCTGCTGCTCTAATAATCACAACCAGGCCCCCGTGCCCGGGCTTGGCTTTGTTCATTGTAAGAAGGAAACATCACGGTTCAAAGCCAACGGAGGAATCCTGCCTCCCCGGGCTCTGCTTGGAGAACAATGGGCCCCTGCACGGGGGTGAGGACGACCGCAGGGCCCGGCTGGGAGGCGAGGAGGGCGACCAACTCAAATGCAACCCTCAAATGCAGCCAGCAGGCCTTCTCTAGACACATTCATGCAAAACCGCGCTCAAATTCTGTATGGACACAGTGGGTGGTAATACAGGGATGGAGATGGGTACGTGGGCGCATAGTTGCACAGTGCAAACTGTGTAACGGGTTTCTGAGTGTGCTTTGAGCGGCCAAGTGAACCACAAGGGCCACTTGGCAGAGTGTTGGAGGTAGAGTTATAGATATATAAGTTATGTATGGTGTCCACACTTCTTTTTTCTTTTTGCAAAAATATTTATTTCTAATATATCATTAGAAATATATAAATAATTAGAATGTTATTAATAGAATTATTAATATATACATAATAAGAAATCAATATTTTTGCAAAAAAAAAAAAAAAAAAAGTGTGTGGACGCCCTTAATTCAGCACAAGTGGCTTAGCTGGGCGTTAGTACATACCAGCTCCTGCACGAAGCCATTTGCAAGAGGCCAAGCCGTGCAGACAAATCCCTCAGTTTGCAACCTTAAGCCAGTCCCCAGGTGGTTTCAGCCCCCCGCCCCCCATGCAGTTATCTGGGTTTCATTGAACCCACTGGGGACCACACCTTGCTTCGAGCTGTGCCATCATGGGCAATGACCAAGGAAGAAACATTTTGCAGGTGCTTGGGTGACTTCAGAGCCTAAATCCCACTGGCTTTCGGTGGCATTTGAGCTGCACGGCCCAGGCTGCACTGCACCATTTTGCTGGTGGAGCTCGGTGGGTTGGGAGTGCAAACAAAACCCAGCCCAGAAGCACCCTGATGGATGACGGAGAGGCAGAAGTGATGAATTTCAGAGACACCTTCACCCAAAAAAGTCTCCCTCCCCATGCTTGGATGGGCACGGCTCCCCCACGGGGCACCCCGCTGGCAGGGCCGGACAGCAAGGACTTTCGCAGTGGGGCCAAGCTGTCGTGGTGCCTAGCTGGGTCATGTTCATCCAGTAGCCATGCCACCTTTAGCATGGGCTGGACGACCCTTTATGCAGCCCCTCGGGGAGCCCACCGTCGAGCTCCCGGGGCAGCCTGCCTCCGAAGGAGCCGGTGCGCGGAGCCCGGACTAGCACACGAAGAGTTTGGCAAGGGCAGGAGATCTTGGCACCTCTCGATTTCCTTAGCAGCCACTTGGGCCAAAATCCCTTCATGGGAAGGGTTGGGAGGGGCCGGTCCCAGCGCCAGCAGAGGCTGCCCGCCAGCCCTACGTCCCCCCCGACGGCACGGCCTGCCAAGGGAGGCTGGGAGCGGGCCAGCCCCGCGCACCGTGGCACACAATCTGGTCGGCAGATGGCAAGGAGCCGTGTTGACATGGAGGGACTTGGAAACCCAGCAGCAGGGCCATAAACAGGGGGAGGGAGGTCCTTTCCCACGAAGGGACCCCCACACTAGGATTTAGCCCAATGCGGACTACAGCTTGCGGGACCGCGGCGCCAAGCAAAACCTCACCCCCTCCAATCTGCAGCCTCGTTCGTCTGCATTCAGGCTGGCATGGCTCTGCCGATGCCCCCTCCCACATCCTTCTCTGCCAAATCTCTGCTCGCTTAATGCTCATCCATCCAAGTCCCTGGCACCCTGGCCTGCCGCAGAGAAGAGCCCAGAGGGGCGGGCGAGCTAAGCCGGGGAGGACGGCGGGTCAGGGTGGGGAAGAGAGTAATGATTTAAGCCCTCTTCTTGCAGCTTCCCACAGCTGTGCCGGTCAGGGGAAAGCTGTGCCTGGCCTTTGTTCTCCCCACACTCGTCCTGTCCTGCTCCAGGTGGGCATTCCCCAAAGACCTGGATACAGGGACCCAGGTTGAGAAGCCGCAGCCTGCCTGGCCCCTCGCCACCCAGCACCAAACCAGGCTTCAGGCCGCCAAACCCTGCAGGGACCAGGCGTGGGCTCCCGGGCTGCCCCCCACAACAGCAGAAAGGCCACGAACGAGGCGTAATGACACACGAAGGGCCCTGCCGAAGGAAGCGGCGAGGCTGATGTTTTCCAACACTGAGCACATCTGGGAACTCCATCACGCTGACCTCTGCCTCGCATGCACCAGACGGACGCGCACAGGTACATATATATGCTCACAGCCTGCACAGCTGGACTGTGTGCACCAATGCACAGCCGTGGAGGTGGGCACTGACACACATGGAACACAACCAACATGGCACACCATGCTGCGGGACAGCCTCGGACAGGCGCCTGCTGCACCGGGGGAAGCGCGGACACAGAACACACTTGGATGGGCAGCACCCAGGCACTTGTGCGCACACCCTGCTCCCTTGTGCGCATGCAGTCACTCCTGCATACACATCCACCCCTGCACTCGCATGTACCCACGTGTGCACACAGGTCTGCACACATCTTCACTTATACACACACATTCACTTAACACCCACACACCTTCACTCCTTTATGCACATATTCACGTGTACACACACACACATTGTCCCACACGCATGTGCACACACCCCTTTCACTCCTGCACACACACGTGCACATGCATGGCTTCCTACAGGTATGCACACGCACACACACCCTCCAATCCTGCACACACACAGTCTACACACCCTTTCAACTCCTGCACACACACACAAAGTATGTACACACACCCCTTCACTCCTGCATGCACATACATACGCGACTTCCCACATGCACATATGTGCATGCAAACAGCCCTGCACACAACACACGTGTACACGACTTCCCACATGCATGTATGCATGAACACACTCCCCTTCATACACATGCACACATTCACATGTATACACACAACTTCCTACATACATGGGTGTGCACACACACGCACATGTATGCACACACACATCTCCATGCAAGGAAGTGCCTGTGCTTTCCTCACCCAGCAGGTAGCAGGCAGGGCTGGGACACCCTGCTGTGCTGACCAGGTGCCCGGCCGATGCCAGCTGGACCACAGGGGCAGGGGGAGCTGCGATGGCATCTTCAGAGGCCACCCCAGCACAGCCCCAGTGCATGGCACTGCCCACAGGAAGTTCGCTCACTCCTGTGTGCTCAGGCCCAGGCTCACCTCACTGCTATTTTTGTGTGCCTTTGCCGGCCAGTTTCCTTTTTCCGGCTGTTTTGCTGCAATTCCCCATTGCTGCGACCTCGCTTTCCCCCTCCTCCCTGTCACCTTTTCCTTCGCTCCTTCCTTCCTCTCCGTGCAATCCCTCTCCGGCTGCACCGGCCTGGGGCTCACACGAAAGCACGGAGCACCAATAAACGGCCGGCAGCTCGCAGGCGATATGGGGCCAGAGGCATCCAGAGAGGTGCCGTGCTTCCCTGTTCAGGCAGGTGACAGCCCGTGTCGGGCTACACCTCCTCCCGGTGCCTTGGCCACCGATGCCACAGACAGGCCGCCTGGTCCCTAGAGGAAGGCATCCGAGTTCACGGCCACCCCGCAGCCCCCAGGGCACAACCAGCCTGACCTGCCGGACAGTGGGGCATCTGCTTGACAGGGACACACATGGACAGACAGACCTAGCCCCCTCCCTCTTCTATCACACCCCAGGGCTGCCCGAGTGTCCGCCACGCTGGCGTTTCGACCCGGAGCTGCCCACTCCCATCTTATCCCGTTGGAGCCAGGGCAGTCGGTGTGGCCCCAGGCTTTGCACACACCCAGGTCCAGCCAAGGCCTGACACCCGTTCCTGGGACAGTGGCAGCTCCCTTTCCTGCTGCTGCAGCTGGTAGCAGGGCAGCCCCCTGCAATTGTGGAAGGTGCCAGCAGCAGCGTGGGACCGCGCTCCATCTCCTGGGCAGGCCTCAGAGGTGGATTAAGACTTTTTGGGGGCCCTGGGCAGGAAGAGGATCGGGGGCCCCTAGCTGGTAGAGGCCCCATTGGCCCATGCATTAATCAGAGCGAGTCAGAGCATCCTGGACATGGTCCCAGCACACCACGGTCCTGCCCCCTGCTCTGCCCAGCCTCACTGGGACCGGTCGGGGTCTGGACCCCGCAGCCTGGGCCTGCCGCTTGGCAAAGGGGCTGGTTCACCCTTCAACCTACTCCATCTAAGTGCCTGCTTTTGGTCCAAACTGCACACGCACAGGGTGGCAAAGGCTCCCCCGGCCCTGCAAGAAGCACAGCGGCCTGGGGCAAAGCACCGCAGCATGCTGGAAGCCCTCGTCTTTCCCCCAGGACGAGGACTAAAACCTGGGGTGCCCGCGCCAGCGAGCAGAGGACTGCGCATTACACAGCGCCCGGCCCCAAACAGGAAGAGCGCTCGTGGGCGAGGACGGCATGAATCACGCTTCCCCTGTCGCCTCCCCGCCAGCACCGAACCGAGCTGGGCCGGGACCTCAGCCGGCCCCGGGCGCCTTGCCAAGCGGCTCTCCGGCTATTTTCAGAAGCCCGCGGGGGGCACGTGTGTGTGCGCGTTTGTTCTCCTCTCTCCAACCCGGCCGGACCGCGGTTCTCACATTTGATCTTTTGTTTAGGGAAAAGGACCCAAAGGCAGACGGCCCCGGCCTCGCCGCTCCCCCAGCATGGGCACAAGCCGAGCCAGCTGCCGTCTGGTCTCCCCAGCAAGGCAATCCCTCCCC